TCTTCTATAATAAGCTGGAAAAGTTATTCCTTCATCTGGATTGTACACAAATTTGCTGATTAAATTAGCAACAGAATTTGGAGTGAATGAATCTGAAATCTTTCCTTGCATGGTTTTGGTAAACAATTCAAAAAACTTCTGCTGTTGTAGTTGTAGTTGTAGTTGTTGTTCAGTTTGTTCTTTTTGCTGTTGCAAATGTTGTTCTTACTGTATTTTTTGTTGCTGAAACATTTGTTTTTGTTGTTGCTTCTGTAGCACTAACATTTGCTTTTAGTTTTTCCATTTTACAAACTCTGCTGAATGAATCCCTGTGTAACCTCAATGAATTCTCGCAAACCCCTATGAATGCTCATTGCCACTGTTATGTTATCGGAATGACACTGTGTTGCCACTCTGTCTATGACAATATATACTAGTTTGATAATTCATCAATGCCAACATAGGACCTATTGTAATTGCAGATACCAATTATAATACGCCATTGAATATTACTGGTGTCAGATATCTTAGAATAATACTTGTACTAATAGTACTACCTGTAGTGAATAGAGTAGAGAAAAGAATAGCAGTCCAAATAGTAATAGAGATAGACTAGGAAAAGCAAACACATCTAGACATCACGCAACTTCCTCTATATATACATTTTCTCTATGGTCACATGATCTACCTAGTTTAATGAGATCACCTGTGTGTTTAATGGCAATCTATGTTCAAACAAAAATGTCAGTAGTGACACTTTATTCCTATATAACAAAATTAATAGATATGATTTTATTCTGAAAAGATAAATAAATAAATAATTAGCAAAAAGATGATTAAATATTAACAAACAAAGAACTAGGCTTATATATGTATTGTTGTTATTGAAAATCATGTTGATGCAGATACATCAGAGATCAGTATGCATAATCAATTGATACTACGAGCAGTTAAAATATGTGAGCATTGTCATTATTAAAGTTGTATCATAAATAAGAAAGGGAAATTTTATACTGAAAAGGGAAATTTTGATGGCTTGCCTAGTGAAATATGGTTGTGGAGACCTGGCAATGCTGCTTAAAAGCAGGGTTGTGGAGCTGACATGTAAATCTTCAGCTTCAAATTTCCAACTCCAGCTCCTGTTCCAGCTCAAGCTAGTCTCACAGTAATGATTGATAAATCTTACTGAAATTGAACATTGTTATTCATAGGCCATAACAGACAGCTATTAATTAAAATTCTAATGAATATACCTCTGCCTTTGTTAATCTCTTATTATTGATAATATAATCAATAATTGATTATTGATAACAATATAAAGTTTTTTTTCCATCTTAGTACAACACAATTATACTTTGTTAACTATAAGTTCAATGTTTTAATGAAAATTCCAAAGAACAAACAGACAGCTATTAATTAAAATTCTAATGAATATACCTCTGCCTTTGTTAATCTCTTATTATTGATAATATAATCAATAATTGATTATTGATAACAATATAAAGTTTTTTTTCCATCTTAGTACAACACAATTATACTTTGTTAACTATAAGTTCAATGTTTTAATGAAAATTCCAAAGAACAAATAATGCTAACAAAATAAAGTTTGTTGTTAATTGAAGTGATGTGAGATTAGTATTTGAAAGATGATAGATGGAAAGAGTCAAAGTTGAAAATATTTACTTACACAGATTGAGAAGTAGTAAGTAGGCTAGTAGCAAGATGGCATATAATTTTACCAAGGAGCATTTTTCACTTGTCAAAAGGAATGGAATTCAATTTTTTTATATTACAGCAGTCCTTTGTTTGCTTAAAATACTTCTTGCATAGTAGAAGTTTTTCTTTGTAAGTTTTCACAGAAATGAATTTATCATCAATGTTCTCAATGGTTAAATATTTATTTCTAAAATAGACTAGAGAATTTCTTTCTTTGTTTCTTTAGTTTGCACAAGACAAAGCCTCTCATTGGTTGTATATTTACTTCACACCTAGTCACAAATTTCTTTTCTTGAATTGGTGATTTTGTTAGCCAAGCCAGGAAAGGTTTTTTTTTGTTTTTTGCTCTCTACAATAGTCATAGTCATAGTATGGAAAAAATTAAATATAAACACTGATAAAAGATAGTTTCAATTTTGTTGTCTTCTTGTTACAATTGTGTGAAAATCAATTTTAGAATTTAGAGTTAAAGAACCACCAAAATTATTTCTTTATGAATTGTTGCGGATTCATTTTTTGAACTTATGGAGAAATAAGTTTTCATATTTACTGGCCAATGAGAATATGCTCTCAAGCCCTTGATGGAGACTTGTGTGAACCTCCTTTCTTGAATAATAGGATTACAGTTGGAAGATGGCTTCAGAAAGTAATTAATCATCAAGGAGGAAGCATTGAAGTGCCCACACTTCAAGGCTGGAGGATTAGTCCAGCTAAAGGAGTCATAAATCATCTCGGGTTTGAGAAAGAAGAACTGACAGATATAGGCAGATTCAAGCCCCAGAAAAGAAAATTCTTTTCGTGTTTCCAAAGAAGAATTTGAATGAAATAAACACTTGTTTAACTTTCCAGTAAAGTGGCTACATAGGTACACAAAATGAATTTTTTTTTTCAAATTTTGTAATTGTACATTTTTTGCCTTTACATCTTTATCTTTATCTGTAATAAATGTTTTTCCTTTAAAATTTTATGCAGTGGTTGAGTCTTATTTTGTTATTTGCACCAATATTGACCTCAAAGAGAAGAGAAGCATGAGTTCTCTTTTCCGTTTCTATTCCTACTAACTACTAGGTTATTGTGTTTAGCACAAGAATTTAGATTTAGTAAGGAGTTAACATTTTTATAAAGGATTTTAATTAACATATCTGCTACTTTAACTGTTGTGTTGTTCTGTTCTTGGCCTAGGCATGTCAGCAAAAAAATGTTAGCTCTGAATCTTTTAAATTAGAAAATTTTAACTCCAAAAAAGGAATGAAAAAAACTTTTTACATTATTTGCACTATTGTCCTCATCTTTGTTGCCATGCTTATCACAACATTTTGGCCGTTGTACACTCAGGCCTTCTTCAGGTGGTTGGAATGTCGAACTGAACCCTTCACTCGCTGGGGTAGACTTTTCTAGTTCCATGTGCCATGTCTAATAGATGTCAGTTATCAGTTATCTCCTGCTAATTCCTCTCTCCAAGTTCTCCCATGCCTTAAATAGGTATTCAACTCACACTCTTTAAGTCCTGTCATTGGATCTAACTAACGCCTTTATCCACTGTGCTATGTGTCCTTGAAGACATCTGTGTATGAATTTCTGGGTATTATAAACCTAATGCCTTCAGCAATCATTTTTTACCAGTGCTCATATTGCAATTTTTGCTGTTATCATTGCATGTTTTTTACCAGAGCTCATATTGCAATTTTCGTTGTTATTATCGCATTTCTCTGGCACTCCTTATTACTGGTTCCCATATTGTATTCATTTCTATGCTTGGTCAGCTCAGGAGATTTTTGTGGCGTAGCATATGTGCTGATTCCTTAAGTTTACGAATTTTCCAATGATGTTCTTTGTCTATGATTTCAACCTGATCCCACAGAGGGCAGTGATCTCCCATTTCTCTCATTATATGGTCAGCCACGCCTGATTTTCCCACTTCCCCTCATGTTACAGCTTTCTGTTCTTCAAGCCTTATCTTAAGGGGGGGCTGCCCCCCCTTTATATTTCTTTCTACAGCTGCACAGGATAGCGTACACACAGTCTTTAGTCATGTTCTCCTCTATGGGGGGGGTCTTACTTGGGAGAGGTATCTGCAAAGCGTCATCCAGCTTTTGAAGGTTGTCCTGATGTTATATGGACTGCAGATCCTTTGTATTTTCTCTGATAGCCCCTTCACATAAGGCAGGCAGACTGTTTTCTGAGTGTTCGACATTCCAACCACCTGAAGAATGCCAGAGCGTACAACAACTGAAACATTGTGATAAATATGTTAACAAAGATGTTGACAATGGTCCAAATAATGTAAATAGTGTACATAATACCTCATCTCAGAAATATAGACAGATAAAAAACTTTTAATCTCAATAAAAATAACTTAAAAAGATCTGCACAATGGACAAGAATCCTAAACATGAATAAATATAGTCCTACCATTTTTGATAATTTACACAGAACATTTAGCAGAATTATTCATTATAGCTTTCTTCAAAGAAAACTAACAGGTACAGAGAGTAACTTGAAATAGTAAATTCTAAGCTCAACTAGTACCAAGTTTGGTGAAGAGAAAAAATTTCATTTTTCTGCCCTCATGTTGCAAAAAGTGATATTACTAAAGTTGAATCGCTTGAAGAGTGAACCTTTCTTATTCACCTGACCTCTTTTTGCTGGATTGCCATTTTTCAAGCAATGAGACTTTTCTTACAGATAAAAATTTCTCCAATTTAAATTAAAGTAAGATCCAATGGTTCTTATCAAATCTTTGAATAAAGTATTTAAAAAAATAAAGAATAAAAAAGAGAAATGATGACTATTGCAATAGAAATATTTTTATTCAAATTATTCTCTGTAAATAAACCAGTAAATATATGGTCTCATAAATTATGCAAAATTAAAGTTCTACATATTTAAGACAATTGTGTATAATTCAAAATTAGATCTAATATGTAAAAATTAGTAAACCATCATATTATCAGTCTTGTTTGTCTTTAGTCTAAAAGAGATTTTAGAAGTATTAGAAATGCTTGTTGATTTTCAAAGTCAGTTGTTTAAATGGCTTTAAAAATCAAAATAATTTCTGATATTTCTAAAAAATGCCATAGTAATCTTAAAGTATCTGTGAATAACTTTTAATTCATGATAAATGTTTATATCTAATTCTAAAGTTGCAGCTTATGCTGCATAATTTGCAACTTTAGAATTTGTGTATAAATAATTTCTCTCCTAATTTTCAATTTGATGAAATATTTTTGTTACTCCATTACTTCAAATATAATAATTTCATGTATGTGTTTTAAGGGGTCTGAAGAAAATAAAACTAAACTAACCTGAAACTTCTAAACAAGCTCCTGTAATATAAGCACTCCGTTTGGTTGCCAGAAATAAACAGGTTTCAGCAACTTCTGAAATGGAAAGACATTTTCACTTATTACTCATTGCAAAAAGTAATAAAAATTGGAAATTGTTTCAGTTCTAAAAATAGCAAAGTCAGTAAATGAAATATTTAACAATTATAACTGACAAATAAAACTTCACTTCTTTTGATTTTTCTCAAAACAATATCTGAATTTGATTTCAAATGATTTTAAAAACTGTTTTTATTTCAATATAATTCATTTTAATTTCAAGACATGATGATTTACTAGTTTTTTAAATATTAGACATAATTTTGAATTATACACAATTATTTTATTATTTTAAATATGTAGAAAAAATCTTTAATTTTGCATACCTTATGAGACTGTTCACTATTACTGGTTTATTTACAGAAAATAATTTGAAATAAAATATTATTTCTATTGAAATAGTCATCATTTCTCTTATTTATTCATTTTTATTAAATACTTTATTCAAAGATTTAATGAAACCCATTGGATTCTAGATTGGAGAAGTTCTTGTTTGTAAAAAATATCTAGAAGTTTGAAAATGGTAATCTAGAGAAAGGAGGTCAGATGAATAAGCTAATTTCCATCTTCAAGTGAAATTACTAAAATGTAATACACTAGGTGAGATTTTATTGTGCGAATCAATGTTTTAATGATAAAATTTTTTTTTTTAGTTTTTTTTTAATCATTTCACCTCAAACAAAACAATAAAGTGACTAAGATACAAGGGGTTTACTGTGTGTAAAAGAATATGAGAAAAAGAAAACATTATTAAAAAGCGAGAACAATAACAGAACAGGAATACAGAAGACAGAAGATAACAATTGACATTACATTTAAATTTTTGAAGATCAATGTTAACTGGAAAGCAAGAAGCCAGAAGAGAGTTCCACAAGTGATAACTGTGAGAAAAGAAACTGTTAGTATAGAACTTACATCTAGCAATTTCAACTGTAAAATGATGAGACCTTGCTGCCAGTCTAGTACTACACTTAAATTCATGAACTTTAGGTACCAAAAAAGGAAAGTTAATCAGGACAGTTACCATGAAAATTTTTATAGAAAATGCACCACTAATCCAAGGAAATAGCGAACAGACAATTGGATATTCAGCTGATTTCAGAATTCAGTGCAGCAGCAACCAATCTCCAAATAGTTCAATGGCTAAAAAATGTGAAATTTGTTTGAGTTGTGCGACATTTAGGAAAATAAGAGTTGTCATCCTTCTACAGTTAAGAGGAGGAGTCCTTGCAGCATACAAACAAATCAGCAAGGAACAAAAGTCCGATGCAGAGCAAGTTAAGTGGTTAATTCTGGTAACCACCTTCATGATGGATTTGTTTGTGGCTTTTGAAAATGTTGCGGTGACTGCATAAGGCAAGAATGGATCAATTTCTAACTAGAGCTTGAGCCATTATGTCAGACAAGAATTAGCAGGTCACAGTGGCTGCACAACCAGTTAAGGCCAATACAAACCCTACCTACCTTGTTAAGTCTGCCAGTCAAGGTGTTGTTGTTACAAATCCTCCAGACAAAACCACTTTCCAAGAGATTGCCAGAATCAGGATGGAGAGGAGTGCAGTGGCCCTGTGCAAAAATGCAAGTGAAGGTGTGCTACTTTAGATGCCAAGAGATAAGCCATATAGCATCTAAGTGCCCCAGGAAACATAGAAAGGGGTGAGACATTGGCACCAGTCTCTCCCCAGTTTTAAAGAGGCGCTCCTCATAGTTAAGGTTCAGATCAATTGGATCAAGTGCATTACACTGGTGGATTCTGGATGTTCTTGATCCCTTGTAAGTGGATCAGCGTGTAGTCCCTGGGGTCGACAAAAGATGGACATAGTAACAACTGATGGCAAAGTTCTTCACTGATGTGTTGTTTGAACTATCATGCTGACAGTAGATGACTTGGGCCCTGTGAAAGCTGATGTCCTAGTCATGGACAGTCAACTATTGTTTCAATCTACTCGTTGGGATGGACGTCATTAAAATGCTGGGTGGATAGAATGAACGAGTTTTGTGAAGCCATCTTCTCAACGATGAACCCATACGTCTGCACTGTGATAAAAATAGAAGAACCAGATTTCAGCACCATTTGATGACAGGACCAGAGTGTGGACAATCTTATAGAAGTGGTCAGGTGACCAATCTCCCAACAATTTGACAAATAGGGTACATGAATATCCATTGTCTGCTAACATCCAACAAAAATACCAGTATCAGCTGCAGATGTGGCTGGATAATGGATGGCTGCTTCCCTATCCTGAGAAGGAAAATATCCCCCAAAAGTCCTGATTCTATTGATGGCAGTTTTACAGCAGAAGTAAGGTGCACCCCATATTGGAATTTCATGAACTGAATGGACATGTCAATGCCTACACAGCTCAAAAACTGAGAGAGTGGTGAAAATATGACTCCAACATTTCAGTGCTTGATCTCTGAAAGACTTAACTACAGGTGTGCATGCAATGATCTTTGTGACCATACCAAACTGTGATCATTGACAGGAGAAGATACTGCTTAAAACGCATGGGCTCTGGATTCAATGTGGCACTATTATGCAAGCCATTATGGATGTTGTATTATCAAAGTATGACTCTATACAATGAGCAAAATCAGCATACATTGAGGATATCTACAATCAATGAGAATATAGCAGCTACAGGTAGCATGAAGTAACATCTGGTAAACTTTGGGCTGTTGAGTAAGGAACCAGTGTGACTAAAGGACAACATACTAGTGCTTAGCTTGCAAGTTTGATGAGGGGGGAGTACAACACACTCTGAGGTCCCCAGCATACCCTGCATTTAAACTTGACATAGTATATTCTCACTATGCAAAAAGCTGGTTGGACACTTTACAGTAGGTGGATGGAGTAGCAGAAGCATTCATTAAGAGGAGAGCAGCAGCAGTTATGACTAGTTGGGATGACAAATTGAATGATACACCTCTAACCACAATGATAAAAGAAAACTTTGCAAGAGTGCACCAAGAAAATCCTGTATGAGGAAAGTGATGCATTGATGGACCCAAGCTCAACATGTAGGTCGATGTAAGCTCTCTGGTGACTGGAATTTCACTGGAGCATAATGAAGCTACTGTGGAGAATGCAAGTTGGTTGCACAAAGAGAAAGACACACAGCACATAAATTTAGCAGAGCTTGACATTGTATTAAAAGGTATCAATATAACATTGATGTAGGAAGCAACACTGTTGCAAATCATCACAGACTTTGCTTGTGCATAAAAATGGATCACAGCCAACCTCATAGGAAAAGCCAGGATGCATACTAAGTCAGCAAGAAAAATGCTTGTCAGACAATAGCTCAGCATGCTCACAAAGCAGATTGAAGTGTACAGGTTGTTGGTGGATGTAACACTGGTGAAGTCTGACCATAACCAAGTAGATGGTCTGACAAGAGTACTATAGCGATGACTTGATTCAATCAAAAAAGCAGCTGATATAAACAAATTGGTCATCCAGTGTAAAGCAGATATTATACTTTGTCGGGAAGGTCAATTCCACAGTCTCTAAAATGCCAGTGAAAGTGGTGGTGAAGTGTAAAGGGTGCTAGCTGATTGACCCACAACCTGCATGTTCGCTAAAAGGTGAATTGTATGTCAGCAACAGGTGGTGCTGAGTGGAGAGGGACATAACCCACTACAAAGACAGAAACTACATCACCTGAGACAGCAAGACACAGTAAGTATCATCGACCACTTGGAAGCAGAGCGATGCTATCGAAGCATAAAACAGATTGTGGCAAGAAAACTATGTTCCATAAGGGAAGCAATTTATTGATAGAATGTCACCTCCAAAAATGATGTGTCAAAACTGACTGTCCCAGGCAATATGATCCATCAGTACCAAGTTTGACTGAAAGGAATTGATCCAATGCTCCTAGCTGAATAGCATCACATTGACTACAAAGTGGTAGATGGTGTTTGGGTTAAAGTCCTGAACAGACAGTGCATGTTTCCATATAAACTTGGATGTGTTTCTGGTGTAACTAGCCCACAGAACATCCTCGTCGATGGAACGCCTCACCATGTGAGGGATCTATGTTCCATTATAGATTTAAGAGCATCACACAGTGAAAATGACAGCGAGTCTTCCTCCCAGAGTGTAAGGATGATCAATATCAGAGAGGCATCCAGTGATATCTTCATTGTGCATTGCATAGTAAAAACAAGGTGGTAAAAGGTGAGCAAAAGCTTTGCAGCATGTGAAAGCACATTGTCATACATGAATATACTCATTAGCATAAAGCTTTCTATTTTGGCCAGTATCATTCAAAAATGTCTTACAATAATTCTCTGCATTTATCTTGACACTATCATTAACTTATCATTTCACTGCCTGCAATACTAGTCCCAAGCATTACTCTGTCTCCCTCCTGTTGTCTTCTATGTTGGTTGATTAGTTCTATGAAGGAGTCAACACTGATACAAGCCATCATATTCATCTACATTCAACACTAGAAATAATTGTTGAAAAAATAGTTTTCCTGTACTACTTTTCCCAACTTACAGGTTTCTCTTTGTGATATTTACTTAAAGGTGTTAGTTTGTGTTTTCATATCTTCAGCCATTATTCTTAATATTCTACATTTTTTCATCTTGTTTATATTTGCAACACCAACTTCTTCAAATATTTTCTTGCTTATTCACCTTTTAATTTTTAACAGGTCTTAAAGATCTTATTAAAGTAGTTACCTCCATGAAATTGCTAAAAACTCAGCATACTGTGATGAAAACATGCTCCAAACATAAAACAGTTTTATCATCAAAATCTTTATGCTATTATTAAGAGGAAGTATCAAAGTATTTTTTAATATTTAATGAAATTTTTGACTTCAAAATTTTGATTAAATAACTTGTTTTTCTTGTGTCAGCAGATGTACTAACTTTTAGCATAGCAAATTTTTAACCTCTTTTTTGCAGTGACAGACACATTAATTTGGAAATTATTGCAAAAATCAAATAATTGTGTGATTTTAATGAAATTTTCAGGACTT